CTGCCAGAGTTCATTTCTAGGATGTCGTCAATTGACTTCGCTGGGTTGTGTTTCAGTATTTCCGCCGCTTCTAGGCTAGTATATATTGACGTCGTCCTTACCAAAGAGTCCTTTATTTGTCCACCTCCATTGAGACATCCTGAATAAGAAAAAATGAGCACAAAATTAGTTATTCTACGTTTCTGGTCCTATTGTAGAGTTGGTGCAATTTTCAAAAGACAGTGTTTACGTAGTCTAGGGACAGGAGAGGGTAGTATTCGCTAGACAACGGTGCATGGAGGGGTCGAAATTAGCAATATATCACTTCAAATCCAGGTGGTCGCAAACAACTTATTTGCAACCAGGTCAAGCCATATAGATAGCCTTGCAGCATGAGTCAATGCGGATGATCGATATTTCACGTGGGTGAATTCGAAAATTTTTGCTAGAGTAGTTCAGGGACAAATGTGGAAGACTAGCTGACTTAATAGGCTCATGTCTTCGTGGGAAATTATGAGTAGGGGGCTGCGTGATGTAGGGTTTAGCAATATCAACTTCGTTTTGCGGAGGATGGGATAGGACAGCTAAAAGATTAGACTCACCCCCCGGACACGCCATTATTTCAATGTAGTCAAAAGGAAAGGATGACCGACTGCAGGTGTAGGGGTAGCAAACCTTCTTGTCGACTCGAGTTTTTTTGCGATACGCCAGCTTCAACTGATGTACAATGCTGTGAATATTACGAAAGCCATTGCAAACAGCAAAAGCTAGGAGTGGCTTGGGAGGATGATAATAACTAGGGACATCAGAATGCGATTCATCAGGAGTAGCGGGAAAAGAGATATGGCGGAATGGCAGTCTGGAACCGCCTTGAATACTTTCAAGGATCTTTTGCGCCAAAAAGCAATCTTCACTGGATGAGAATAGTAGGAGTTCCTAACAGAGTAAAGTGAAAGACATGGTGATTTGTGAATAAATGCAGAGACCGAAATGAAAATGCAAGCAAATGGGGGATCCGAGGAAACACCATACCTGAATATCCCGATTGTT